CAGCTCAACTCAAGAAACAGACGCATATTTGTCCCGAATTCCTGAACAACAAAAAAACTAATAGCCAGAAAGGCGGCATGAAATGGGCTAAAAGTGGCAGCGGTCAAAACTTATTTCTTCTTTGCGATATCAGACAGTAAGTTTGCCCTGAACAGCCGTCCATGACAGAACCCACAGAGATCTGGCTCACCAGGTGCCTCTGACGAGGAGAACTCGGTGGACGACTGCGCTGATTCTTGAGCTGACTCAAGACGAGAGAGGGACGGTGGGGTTACGTTATACTTACATGCGGCCTTGACCATTCTGAATGACTTTTCTGACACCACTCCTGCACCTTTTTGTGATGCATGGCAGATTCGAATCCTACTGTAAGAGTTTAATTCTCTCCTTCTTTGCTTGATCGACCGTTGATCCTCAGGTCCTTCGGAGGATGACCATTTCCTCATATAAACCCTTGGGAAACCCTCGTTTAGCTACTCTTTCACTCGTCTTGCTAGTGAGTGATTTTAACGCTGCAAAGCCCCTTGAATGAAGCTCAAACCCGTTGAATCAAGTTAACCATTTGGAGCGGTGTTTACCACAGCCATTTAACGGGGTACTTGGAGTAAACGCGTCACCCAATCCATCAGATACCGCGCAGGTCAACTACTATCCCTCCCGGATTTCATCATCACCAAGGGAAAACACATCTTTGATCAGGTGGTGTCTTTTCCTACTAATGTTTGTTCCCAACTGGAACATAGTGACCACTGTGTACTGGCCTTTGATTTCAACTGGTAGTTGGTCACATATTCCGAAGCCCAAACGCGGCATCGAGACTTCTGCCGTGCAGACCTCTCAGAAAGGCGTATCTTTTTCGAACAACTTAATTAATCACCAACGTCAGTGGAAGACTTACATAGGACCATTGTCCACAAAGTTCACACAACTGACGCGCACGCAGGTGAATGAGCCGCAGGCTACTTGAAAGGAACCGGCGTCTTCTGGAAATGAGGTCTAGATTGTTTTAAAAAAAATTGACTACAGGAGACAGAGAAGATGAGTCGGCATTTCGTAAAATGCGGAACCACCGCAAGGTTGAAGTCCGCTGATGGAACATACGTAAGCATTCCATCGTTATAGACTTCATCCATAAAAATAGGAATGTGCTTTTAAAATACATTAGACATCGCCGAAGAAATAAGTCCACCGCCTTCTCCACGAAGGACAAGAGTGGATAGCCCACGAATGACTCAATAGTGTTATCTGGGGTCTACAGGGAACACTGTAGGTTTTTCGCAGCCTCAGCGTCCTCCTCACAACCGATCTTGTCAAGACATAACTAAGAACAGCTTCTCACCGACTTGGTTTTCACGACGGAGGACATTCGTCAACTCTTTCAAAAGATCAACCCATTCTGCACGTTTGGGGCCCGACGAGATCCATCCAAGGATCCTGATGGAAACGCCTTCTACACTGGTAAATCATTTATACCTGGTGCTTCGTCAGTCGCTTGACGAACGCCACCTTGCCTCTGCTTCGAAGGAAGTGATTCAGGCCAATCTACAAAACTGGTGTCCGATTATCGCCCGGTAGCTGCAGGCCTAAAGCCTCACTAGCGTGCCGTGCAAGATGATGGAACGCATTCTGAAACGAACTTCCCTAGATAATCCTACTTCCAACAACTTGATATCACAGGCTCAAAAGGGATCTCCCCCAAACAGTTCTTGCGTAACGAAATGCTCATATTTACGGACAGCTTAACCGATGCCAAGGGCGAGGGACACATATTGGATGCCATAATTTTCAAATTCTCGATAGCTTTTGATCGGGTCCCACCCGTCCCGCTGGTCCACAAACTTCGCTCTCATAGGATTGAGGCAGAATATCAATAGTGCAAGTACGCCACAAACTTAATTCTTGCGGGATTCAAGAGAAAATCCTTCACTGGATCAAGGCGGTCCTATCAGGCAGAGCATTCCGAGTGAGAATAGGTTCAACCTACTCTTCTCCAGCACAGGTCTCCATATCCGTTCCTCAGGCTCCGATTTGAGACCGCTGCTTTTTATGGTATACGTCAACGAGCTTCCAAATGTTCTTGCGAGCCCATGTCTACTTTTTGCGGACGACTTGAAATCCTGGAGTCCCAATGCCAGTGCCCAACAAATGGATGTAGACACTGCAAAGCAATGGTCGTTGGACTGGCACCTTCCCCTCAATAAATAAAAGTACGTCTTTTTGTCATTCGAGAGAGACTCGGCGAACGCCCGTTATGCGTTTTGAGAACGGGTCAGGATGAAAGCCTATAAGAATTTGGGTATCTTGCCCTTTCCAGACTTGTCCTCCTCACTGCACCATAGGCAAACGGCCCAAAGTCATTCGCCATTTTACGGATGATTCGGCGCACCTTCTTCCGTATTACTCACGTGGACATCCAAATACTTTATGGGGCCTACGTCAGACCGCTCTTTGAATATGCCAACCAAGTTGTCTACTCAACTTTCTACTCACGCATGAAAGACGTTACCCGCACTGGGCGTGTCCAGGGAGGTGCTACGAAAATGGTCGCCGGCCATAGATCCGAGGACTAGGAAATGCGCCTCGCGCTGCTTGACCTCTTTCCCATGGAATATCGTCACCTACAGGAGGGCCTAATTCTCACTAATATCTTGTTTGAACATAGCTTGGCCAACAGGATTTCCACCGTTGACCCAGGATAAACATGGCGGAAGCATGGTAAGACGATTTTCAAGCTCACACGCTCAATAAACAAATTTTTTCTCAATTCGGGTGTGTGTAGAATAGCCTTACTCAGACGGTTATCCACATTACATCTGGAACCAAATCCGAAACATTATTAGACACTAATTCTTTCGACTCCCCCCGCTGAGATATTAAAGAACACCATTCTTGCACTTTGTCTTTCAAATGAACAAGAAATTCGACCCGGGGAACTTGGACAAGAGCCTCGATCGTGTGTACCAATTCATGACTCCGTGTAGTGGTCACCAATACGCAACATAGTAGAATATACCCTGTGCTCAAAGTCACCATCCTCCTTCATATTCCTACCCGGTATAAAACAGTAGAGTGATCGATGGGATGAACCAAAAACTGATGAATTATAATTTTTACTGAAACAGTGGCACATTTTTCGGCCTTCTCCATATTGGGACTGCCGGGTAGGCTTCGTGAGGCTTCCCGACAGAGTGGCAAGCAGTGAGTCCCAATCCGTTTGGATAGAGTTCGAACGGAACTCTGTTTGTGAGGGCTTTGGTGGTTGCTCAAGTAGTTCAAGAGCTGTTTGGTATGATTTCTATTCCCATACGCTTCACTTTGCATCATACCGCCTGTTATCCCAGGGACTAATACATTCAGGGACGTCTGTTTGTTGTTCTCGTTTTTCTTATAATAGCAAAGGGTTCTTTCGAATATCGCACCCGCATTTTAGGTGTGATTTATGGTAGTAAAAGGTGTTCGAGTATTTGTAATGCAACTTCCGTAGTGAAACCTGATAGTAGAGATCCCACTGAGGCCGACTTTGGCTATTCGTAATATTCACCGATGAAATTAAAGCAAATATTTAAGAACATATATGATAGTTCTCAAACATCTTTTCTTTTGAGCGCCCCAATTGCAGTTTCCCGATTGTCCAGAGGTTCGGCAGCATTGTCCTCACAGTATTTAAATCGGCCTTTTCGAACAACAAAGTTACGTCGAACGACAACATTCAATTCATCCACTGACTTTCACGCACAAACGGTTCTGCATTGTCTATCGAATACTGAGATCCATCGGTGAGATATCTTACCCACTTGCATAGCTCCTTTGAGACGTTGTTTGTGCACCACCCTAATAGAATTAGAAGCCTATGGAGACGGACCCTTACTTTCCCTAATAGGGATTCTCCTTTTTTTCAAACAAGGTACGGTTTCCTCTAGTCAAGAGGCACCCAAAAAACAGAGCTCGAAAGATACCTTATCTGCATATGAAGTTGAAAGGATATTAAAACTGCTGTGTCATGTAACGGTTTGAGTCCCGTACATTCTGTACGGCGGACATACAGCATGGACTTCGCAAATGTCCTTTTTGACGGTTAATTTAGATGTCACATGCCCATGGCTGGCAAGTTCCATTCCATAATTTTCTTCACCTAAATGATGGAGATGATAAGTTTCCCAGATATTAACGGCAGTTTACCGGAATTCAATGGATATAGACCGACTGGGGTACCAAGAAGTCATCATCATTATCAGCTGGAAAATCACGAACGTGCAGTGATTATAGCTGGCATACTATAGTTCGCTGATGATCTGAGGAGATACGGGTAGATAGGTGAGCATTAGTGACAGGAGCTAAGACAATACCAAGGGGTGGCAGTGAATTTCCCACTGGGGATAGGAAAGTATGCATGGAATACAACAGCTCGGATTTATGCGCACCACTGGGCGAGCGACTAACCACTGGTATCCCATCTAGAGAGACCGGAGCGGATGCGTCTACTGGGGAGGAAATGCCAAGAAGCAATGTACCTCTTATCTGCTGGGGATCCCCCTGTACAATTTGGGAATTTATATTTGGACTACAGCAAAGAGTGGGTCATCAGTAAGACTACTCTCGAATCACGAGATTCGTATGCGGTACTCCAGTTTCTCGGATGCTTGATATTAAACCAAGAAGGGAGTGTACCTGGAAGAAGTGTACCTGTATTAAGCAGGCACGGCAGCCACAAACTCAAAGCACACAATAGTCATGGTTTCTTGCCAAGACATGGTCTGGTAAATGAATTTATGATGTTATGTGGCTTGTATAGTTAGGAAGAGAAAGCCACCCTTCTTTAAGCGTGGGCTTAATCCAAGAGTTGAAAGACGCAAGGCTGATTTTCCTGGAGGCAAGTTAACTGGCTGCCTGTGCTCTAGCAACGGGTGGCATCATTCCGAAGGGTTGTGCTACCAGCAAAGCTTCAGTTTTGACCCAGTCTATGACGGTTTGGTGTATTTCTCGTGAAAAATAAACCCAGATGTGCATGTTTATTTTTTTCAAAGAGACAAAATAGAATCTTGAAACGAAATTAACGGAATCTATGTACATTACAAAGTCTTCTACACCAGCTATCGCTAAGAGACACGTTTGAGTTTGCAAACAAAAGTTGGTCCATAGTTTGCTGACAAGATCGGGGCGACAATCATACCCATTGGCTGAGTAGCTGATTGACTGGCGAACACGGGGAGAAGACTTAGTCCGAGATCGCGTCGGGCCAGTTCAAACAAGCGAATGAGGGGAAACAGACTCGACAACGCAAACCGGGCACCATTGTCAGCGCTGTTGACACGGTCCAAGCAAAGCTCGATCACAGCCTGGTTCTGTGCAGGTGATAGGGTGCAAGTTGAGTAGACGACAGAGCCACCAACACGACAAAAACTCATTCCTCGTCTGGTGAAAAAAAAGAATTTAACAATGTCCAGTTGGAAAAATTCTCGTAAATGATTCTCTGACTAGAAATGAGAATACAGGATATCGATGAAGTTTTAGTTTGATCGCAATATATTCCACTACAACTGTAGCTTGAGGAGTTTTCGTGTAGTGCACCAGACATCCAATACACAGTGCCCTAATCAGCATTGACTGCCAACCGAATTCACTACTGACGGATCGTTTAAGTTAGTGGATTCCCAGCCAGATAAAATTACCCATCCAGGTGATGAATCATCCGAAGAAATCAACCAACTGTGGATTATTTATAAAGCACAAATGTGATGAGGTGTCTCAGGAATCCGATGTTGTAAACATAAAACAGGAATAAACCATGGGGAGTAGGTCATGTATTCTGAACAAAACTGCCAGGAATGAAATTCTTAGCTGACGGTACAGTGAAACACCGAGTTTATTTACCAACACATGCTGTCAAACAAAGCAGAATGCCAGAAGACCTGGCACAGGAATACAGTGCCGAAAGCAGTCATAGGATATTCTTACAATGCGTGCTCGGTTCTTTTAGATGCTTCAGTAAAAACTTCCGCACCAAACTCATTTAAACTATTTGGCAACTTTCTGGCACCCGGTTAAACAGAAAGCTGTTCAATCGGGAGGGTAAAACAAAAGGTTTGTCACTATGAGTCAAACTGCGGATTAACAAGGTTTGATATCACACTGAGGTGCTGTCATCATCATCGACAGCATGACATCAGTGTCCAACACCGATGCTTCACTGCCGTACAACCATGACTTATTTGAAAGCCTTAAAACGGAGTAGTACTTGGTCGCTATAAATACAACATATATTGATTCTGTAGGTGCGGAATTTCTCAAGACAAAATTTTTTTTCTTCAAAGAAACGATAAACCTATTTCTAAAGTTGAACGGAAAACCAAAGTCATCTGGAAGTTCACACTCGAAGCTAATGAAATCCCTTTCTAAAAGACCGTTGGAAAAAAATCGGCGATTTTATTGTTGGACAACGCTCTGCTTTTGACATGACATCCTCCTCGAGTAGATTACCTGTAGAGTTAGAGGATAAGTACACGAAGCTGAGTCTTGTTTTAGAGTTCAGGACACTTCAATAGATGATTCCTGCTTCGGTAGAAGGACCTGAAACCTATCAGGACTTGAGAGCTGCCATCCCTATACACCTTCGCTTCTGTAAATCCGTGTCCAGTATGGCAGCAACAACGGTGGGGCAGAACCGCCCAGATTATGGGTCAATTTATTGACTAGTCGGCAGACAAAATAAAAAAAATCTTCATCTTGATGGCAAACAAAGTCACCTGATACGAGCAGGGAGTGCTGCTTCTGTAAATCCGTGTCCAGTATGGCAGCAACAACGGTGGGGCAGAACCGCCCAGATTATGGGTCAATTTATTGACTAGTCGGCAGACAAAATAAAAAAAATCTTCATCTTGATGGCACACAAAGTCACCTGATACGAGCAAGGAGTGCTGTGCTTAGCCAAAGTGATACTGAAAGTGATGGCCCTATGATGACCACAGCTAGTAAAATTTTACTGCCAGCCTAAGTAAGTCGTGCCTGAAGTAATCGTGTTACCGTCCCCTGAAATAAGAGTGCAAAGCCATCCATACAAGGGGCAGGTCCATATGTATGAAAAAAATGGATGTTCGCCTTCCCCAATGAATGACTAAGAAAAGTCCGCCGTGAAAACCGCAGACGAATCGGCCGATTGACGACCGGGACCGCTGATGAATCACCCAACACGGTCGGTCATCGCACCAAGAATCGAACACGACCCAAGAAGCATCTGCTGCACTCAACGGTCTCAGGAGTCAGACTCCCGAGTCAGCTCCAGTCTCCGTGTTTTCAGACCAAGTCGACCACCCAAAGCAAGTGGTCAGACTGTTGAGTCAGTGACTCCATGAAAACCCTTACATCGGAGACTGCTGAGTTGGAAACCATGAGCGGGGTTATGAAGCAAAACTCCAGATACTTCTACTGTCATGACGGTAAGACATTTGAGCCATAGGCTCAGGACGGTGGACTTCGAACAAAACCTACCCTTCGGTCTGGGTAACGGGAACGTATCTTCTGCCTTTAATGACCAAACGGAAAGTGTGATTCATCTTTAACTCTTTGAGGTGACTCTGATGAACCCCATTGCTATTGTGAATCTCCCTTTTCAAACTTTATTACTTGAAACAGGAAAAATCCTCTACTAACGGCAAGTTGTTTCTGCCAACACGAGAACTCAATGCCAAATTGTTTGATAGATTCCCAAGTGCACTCTTCAAAATTCTTCTAAATTGACACGTGCTGTATGTTAGAAACACGCCTACAACCATACTACGGTGACGGATCTCCAACTCCCACGGTTCATTCTTTACACTTCGCGTATCCGGTGCTCATTGGGCTGTTTCGGGGTACCCATGGTGTAGGAATCACCTCGAACCTGGAGGCTGAATAATAAGCTGCTGCAATGTTACGGAATACGAACATGAAGAAAACCTGTTGAACTATGTACCACAGACGCCAAACAAAAGCGAATAAATATGCAATACCTATTCGCGACGTCAAACCAAATCTCCGGTAGGCTGCAGCAACGATGCTGACACACGAATTTTATCGCGATTTTCCGAATTTTCTACAAGCAAAAATCAAGAGTATTACGTTTCCAGCTGGCGATATGAACGCTCGGACTGGACGCCTCAGTGACAGCGAGCGGCGTGTGGGTGATAGATCTAACACCCCCCCCCAATTCTCGCAACTGTGCGTAAACCATGTTATGTAACTGTGAAAAGCAACTTTCACAGCTTGTTGCCTGGCGTCTTTCGAACGACACGTAACTTTACACGCAGACAGACCGTGCGAAAATCTGCCATAGATGGAGATCGTATGTCCATGACAGCCTCATTCACTTTTTAAATTTCCTCAACATTCTACACCTCAGTTTTTCGTTTGACAGAGACTATGGCTACCAGGACAGTTGTGCTCACAATTGGGAAACAGAACAGGGCACTGCAAAGTCATTACATCCAGGCTATGCATCTGCAGTACAATAGATGCATGTGTTTCTGTACATACAACGACCGGTCCAGCTCTCAAACCATAGCACAGCCATTCTGATAACAAGGACCAAAGTGACTAAACAGTTGTGTTGTCGTCAGAAACAGTCGCTAGTTTGTACCGGTTATTCAGTAATTATCACGTAGATACTTCACTGATGTTGACTTGGTCACCGATCCCATACCAGCTTCATAACACCAAAAACCTATGAAAACTGATCATACGTCGAGGTGGACGATCTCACATCTCTATGGGTTCTGGATGGTTGTATCAAGGGGATGTTTTATTCGCTGCATTGCTCACCGGTGAACAGAAAAGGTTAAGACAAAGGTGTGACGAATAAGTATGAACTTAAGTGCAAATGTGTGACGTAGGACAGTGTCCACGGTAGCTTAGTTGTTGCAACCCTTGGCAAGGGAGTAAAAGGTCCTGGGAATGAGTCTCATTCATGGGCTGTTTTCGGTTACATCTGATTCCATATTCAAGATTTTCCCAATCAGTGGCACTCCTGCATCAATGTTTTAACCAGGTTAGTAGTAGTTAGAGCTTCCGTAAATGGAACGACTGAAGATAGGTAAAACAGTATCTGAAACCAAAAACTCACTGCAGTAGCATCGACTGTAGCTCGGGAAGGTTGGCCCGTGCCTTCGACTTGCCTTTCGAAAAAAGGCTGCCCTCATCTGATGTTAAGGCGTGTCGATCACTGGAGCAGGGGACATCCACAAGAACTTTGTCGAAAAGTCGTTCTTCTACAGGCAAAGTGGACTTGATGAATTCGTGAAAGCCAGACTCATGGACCACATCGACCGTGGGGCCCGAAGGGGCATCCACGAGTCCATGGGTGCTGAGGACATGCTGCAGGCGTCGCAGACGCGAAGGTGAATTATCCACGCAAACCAGTCGACCTATTTTTTTAACGAAATATTGAGAAGAAAAACTTCTGCGAACTTTTCCCTCAAGTATGGATGGTTAGATAAGAGTGTACAGACCATCAGGCGATCGTTTGTTATGACATCTTTTGGACCTGTGGTTTGATCTAAATTCTGTGAACCGTTACGATATAGTAAACTTGGCCAAAAATGCTAGATGGAAAGGAAGTTCGCGCCGAGTGTGTGTATACCTGAGCAGGCTATCGACTTCACTTATAATGAATGTTTCTCAGTAAACCCGAGCATACCAAATATCGCGCTTTAAAAAATCGATGTCTCATATTGAGTGCAACCAGTTAACCCGACCCAGGCCTATAGTTTCCCAAAAGAATCATATTTTCAGATGTGGCAAACTGCACATTTCACAGTTCCTCATATGTATCCATTTTTTTCCCAAAAGAAATTTTCAGATGTGGCAAACTGCACATTTCACAGTTCCTCATATGTATCCATTTTTTTGCACGATATTCTCCACTGAACTTACTTTGTTGAATACTAACCCGATTCGGCACGCCCCGCCTGACATTGGAGTTTTTAATATAAGGCTGGTGATTCGAAAAGCAGTGAGTCATCTAAAAACTAACCTGTACATACCACCGGATTTACTGGCTTCAAATTCATAACTCCTGAGCAAGCCCAGGAGTGACGTTCAAGGTGAATAACGAAATGTGGACGAATAAAATCTGTCAAAGAACACACCTGTGGTGCCACCCTCCGTAAATATGGCGCATGCAGTAGAAAAACCAGCTAGTTACCGAGGATATGTAATAAAATATGAGTTCTGCACATATTTGTCAAAAAGTTAAATGTTCAACCTCCGTGTTCCTTTTGATTTTGGTGGGGAAACTATCAAAAAAATCTCACTTGATGAATACATGAAATCGGTGTTAAGCGTCTGTTCAGAGTTCTCACTGATTCGTGTGAGTAGCTCCTAACCGATGTATAGGGAGGCACTTTGAAATTGCTCCAATACAATATATTTCCATGATATAATTAGTTACCTGAATAAGACGTGGAAACATATTTGCTAGTATATCAGCCCCCACCCTACTAATTGACAACAGTCAGCTCAGGGAAGTTATCCTGTCACCGGAAAAAGGAAACAAGTTCGTTAGTTGTCTAGTGGAGTGAATCTACAGAATACGCCATTTCTTTGGTATTTTCGCGGATTTCGGGCTGAACGTCGTAACCCAAATTTCATTCAAATCGAACTGAATTGAACGATCAAGTATGATACGCATAGTTGTACGATATGAACAAGTCCCACAATCCTGTGGCTTGCTGCAGGATATTCCGAACGCAGGGCTTCCGAACGCAGTGGCAAAAGATTGTATGTGTTTACTAACTGCCTGAGCTAGCGTACACCCAGTGAATTTGCGTGAATCCCAAAATGAGAGTGACCGGAGATATCTGAACATCGTAGGTGGTCCTAATAACATCACAGACGCTGTATAAGGTGGATGAATAGATGCACCCGTTTGCTACGGTCTGTATTAGCCCCAGTTCGTTAAACCAAAACTAAACTAAAAGGCAGTGGAAACGCGAACTGAGTGCTACACGGGACGATCGATCCAGACGTAACACTGTAGAAGACATTCGGAACCACTGAAGACCTGGGCAAGCAATGCGTGGACTCGTCTGCTGAAGACACACAACTACCCACTTATTTTCTCTAGGCATTCACAAACGTTTGTTTCGGCAAAAAATTTCCCTCAGTTCACTAGTACTACATGTCACTGCGAAACTCAAATAACCTTATAGCCATTTTGCGCATAAAAGGATAAGTAACGCTTGCAAGGATGAAAGAGTGGCTAAGACGCACCTGACGTATCTACAACAGCTTTCTAGTCAAAGTAAAACGAACGGCTATGACTGTCTGCAGCAAAAAAACGAAAAAAGGTGAATTCGATCAACTTCACAAAACTGTTCACATACGAGGCTTGAGAGTTTGCAACGCAGTGACCGCCTTTCCGCCGGGAGCCGCACACAGATCAAGCAAAGTGTCACCGGGATTCAAATTGAGAGCCAGAACTACCAGCACCGAACCCAAGTCGATTGGATAAAAGTCTGACAGGATGAGGAGACCAAAACGGGACGAACGCCATTATCAAAGGCCATAAAAAGTAGTATGGTGAATGACACCGCACCCATAAAGAAGCAAGGCACGAATTTAACGACCATGACCTGCACAGGGCTACTGAACAAGATTCGCTAGCGGGTGACTGCAAACCAGGGAAAGAATGAAACATCCGAAAAGAGAGGCATAAAAGTCAGTGGCCTATTTGTTAAAGATGGTAGGTGGACTAGTGAGATGCCCTTGGCCAGTTTGATAGCACCACCAGATGAAGGTGTAGACCGACGGGCAACTCAGGTAACTTCGGTGTGCAGGTCACTGTAGAGAGAGGACTGAGTACGTTCTACCTTGGCTTGCAAAAGACGTCATTTTGCGCGTCACCTGGTAGATATAAGAAACTAGGTGGCAAGTACTTCTGCCTTCACAGCACCCTGATAAGTCAGTTTAAAATTAATAAGGTTACAAAAAATCCAGATTGTGAACATGGTGAAAGCCATCGTAGTTCGCATCCATAGGTCAACCATTTCCGTTCAAAAGCAGCTTACGCCTCCCCCCGTCCGGCAACAACAACGCAGAAACGAAATATTAATAGACAGCACCAGTGGAGTTAAACATGCTTACTGATCTGTGCTCAGTGCATGCCATGCATGCACTCCAAAACAGTTTCCTGAATTTGACGGAGAGGAAAAGGATGACCTGGATTAATTGATGGCTTGTTCGACGAGCTTAGCAAACGTCTCTCAGCAATTCGCGGACGGAGATCATCCATGTCTGCCAAGCACATCTTGTGCGCTAATACCGCTATAAGTAAAAGGTTCTGGAGGACAACAGCTATAGCAAAACTGAATGGAAATGACCTTAAAAGGAAAATGTGATCATAGCCAGAAATTTGCCCAAACATATGCGTAGGAAGCCTCTTGAAGATGAGAAATTTAACTTAGTTTCCTGTGAGATGATTCCTTTAAATAGCTTTGTCGATGGTATAAAAGCAATTCTGATACTAAAAAACCCCAGAAAAGTTCGTCTTCGATAAATACGGCACTGTTCAGGAGACTATTGTAAGGTGGAAATCTGATCAACGAAACCCCCTTCTGAGTACAATCTTAACTGCTTATCAAGCTGAATTAGCTCATACACTGAGTTCAATCAGTGATGTGTGATAGATCTGAAAATTCCAGATGCAACAAGTGGTCAATTTCATCATATTAATTATTGATCGTGTGTCTATTCCTCAGTTACCAAGCCTGGCAGATCGCTTAAAAGCGCTACGCCGACAATCGAAAAGACGTCAACAATGCGCACCAAGTTCAGCGGACAGACCAAAAAAAATGACAGTAGGAGACTTCACGCTTCTTGCGTATGGAAATGATGGAGGCCTCAAAAATTGGATTTATCCCAAATGCCTCCGGCAAGTCAATGAGTTGGATTACTAGTGTGAGCCTCCATCCTTGAAAAGTATTGGGGACATTTGTTGACAGAACACACTACTCTCAAGATTTCAAGAAACGTCCCACTACTCCTCTTGAGGCTTATTACTTACGCGAAATGCTCCCGACGACACCAAAGTTACGTTTTACTAGGGGTAGTTCAGTCAACCTGAGTGTTTTGTCCGGTTGAAATGGCCGGTTACTCTCAATAATTCAGGAACATATGAGTATCCACATCGGCAGTGCAATGAGTTGTAGCTCAGAGTGTGAGACCAGCTGAACTGACTTTCAAGATATTCAATCGGATGTTCGATGGACTAGTTATAAATTTGTTTGACCGGCATTTGATTATTTCCAGCCGGTTTATCTTACAAGCCGGAACAGCTCCCGCGAACATCAACAGATACGGCCTAAACCTCGCACGGAAATCAAACCACCACACTTCAAGGCCTTTGTTTGGATATATGTTCAGTGTTTTCTCAGCCGCCTAAGGGCAGCGATATGCTACCCAGAAAAGTAGTAGGAATTTGGCGAGTATTGTCTGTATGAGCAGTAAAGATTTCTCAAATGTACGACAAACAACCTGTGACGCCATCAAACAAATAAGCCATGGGAGTGAACATAGTTTGGATTGATTGTTGTTATCTGAACATGACTGTGCTAACCGACCTAGTTCGACCAGCCTGCCACATCGTCTGGGGCGTCCTCCAAATCGGTGAGCAGAGTTGACGTCAGTACGGTCTACAGTACGTGCACAGGACTATACCGATCATCACTGTCGTACCCAGAAGTGGTACAGAGTCAACACAGTTTATCTTGTAGAAGCTGACGGTAGGTGTTCACAGCTGTGCAATTCTTCTTTACACTGCAAACACGCTAGTTATTGCTACAAGACTGGTTGACCGTGCTACCTCCGCTGTGAATATAGAAACGGTGTCTTTAGAGTTAATTGACTGCTTTACGTGGCTGGGGTTTTGTGCCTCAGTTGATGTCTGTCTCACTTCCGACGTAACGGCCTATACTGTATTTGGTCACTGAACCGAACAAGTATGAGCCTCGGAGATCAAGCAGCCCTGGGGACGAAAGGCAGTTGTCTTCATATTTCATATAATCCGATGATGGCCAGAAATGCCGACTGGTACAGTGATTCAGGTCTCATAAATAGTTCGCATTAGAAATCTTGACGATCGTTCGACGAGTCAAGCAATGCGGCATCGAAAATGGGTAACAAAGGAGCAATAGTAATACTGATTGAGAGCCTAACAGAAAGCTCCAGCCAATCAACTGGTATATTTTGCGCTATGATGATCATGAAACCATGGTATAGGTGGGGTCCACATCAGTACTCGGCCATCTAGCCTTTGCGCAATCGAGCGGACTTTGCACAGGAAATGCACAGAGCCCTCAGGAAAAAGGTGAACGGCACATTCATCAGGACTAATGGATTACGAGGGGAATTTTGTGCACCAAGGCTATGGAACTCATTGCCGTTGGCGCAAACATCAGCTGGGACGTAGGGTCGAGTCAACCTTCGTGAACGTAAAAATAATAAACTGTCTGCGAAGTCATGGCATCCGGAACTCGCTCGCAATGAGAAGACAGACAACAGTACAGGCTTAGCGATTGACATTTCATGGTGATCATTCGTCTAGTCAAATCGCCTAACAAATATTACGGCGATCGGTTACGTTGTAAGGTAGACAATTGGTAGAGAGTTAGAACATTTTCCCGTGGAGTAAAAACGAATGTGTGCTGCTGGAGGATATGATTGTTAATCACTCATAAATGGTGACTACAATACTGAAGTTTACTTACACATGCGTATCATATCACACCATTTTAAGAGGAACATGAACACAACGAGTTCATAACAGTTAAATTCGAAACATTAAGGTCTGAATCTACAAACACGATTGAAATTCCCTACTCAAGGGATAAATGAAAAACAGCAACCGAAATCGATTGAAAACGTCGGGATAGCACGCGCAAACGGTGGAGTACGACGACAAAGCATGATGGAAGATTGGTTTGACAAACACTGATGTACAAGATGAAATATACTTACCAAGACCAGTACGGCAAAACCTCTTTACAGAGTCCAGTGTGACGGGACCGGTCGAAAACGGTGACCAACGTAGGGCACGATAGTCTGGTGCTTGTCCGAGGGATGACAAGCGTGTTGGTAAAACACTGACGCTTAAGATGCTTGATATAAGATGACAAACGGTACAGATGGTGGGAAGGGACCACGGTGCAATAACCGTTATTGGCCAAAAAATTACGACACACTCTAAGGTCCATCAAAAAGGATTTGACGGAAGTGATTAAAGCTGAAGAAAAATCATACTCTGCTGCTGTTACTGAAGCTAATAACTGGCAGCTTACCGAACTGTCCATTCACAAATGTCGGTTTGTGATAACCGCCCAGTTTCCCGTGTTTAGGACATTTTACTCGAAGTGCGTCCGGGAGATTCCAGTCTTCATCAACGAGATCCCACCGGGCTCCGGAAGCGGCGTTTGTTCGTAAGTCGGTTAGCGCGAATGCCACATCTCGATCGCACTCTCTAGTGAAAATTTCACTTTCACCAATAAATTCAGTAACCGGAACGAATTCATTCAAGTTCACAGTTTCGGGTATTGGGTTGCCACCTCGACCAATAAACTGTCTTGGACTATGGGGCTGGAAATGAATGGAGAAGAGATGTCGACCTGAAAATGTTTCAAAGTGATGTCGTCCCGGTAAATCTCATGCAGATCATCGACCTTCTTTGTTCTCTTAGAGTTTCAGCTGGACACACGTTCTTCATTGTTGTATGACCACTGAGCACCAGTATTTACTTCTGGGGTTTCGGGGTACTTACGACGGTTGTTTCTACTAGCAGACAAGAACTGGACTGAGTGGTTTAGCTGTAGTCTGGATGTTATGCCACTAAGAGGGAGCACGAGGGCTGGATACTGTCAAGTTGCCCACGCCCAGACAGGGGAAGTCGAGATTGAAACACGGATCTTCCCGTCAGTAAAATCGCGCCCCAACCAATGGGCAAGACACCACACAAAGACGACGGTAACTAACTACTACATGATTACAAATGTTCGATTCGAAGAAGTAGCATGGGAGACACTCGATGTACCTGTAACTAGCGGCGGTAGGATCCCTAAGTTGAATTTGAATGAGTTCAGGTAGCTTAACTGGGATTCGAGGAGCTTCGAAGTCATTAGTGCTTTGGCATGCGTCCCAAAATGGTCATCAACTGTACGGAACGTGGCCCATCACCGTTATCTCTTACAGAGTTCCGAACGTTGGTTGTGCGGAAAACAGACCCTGTGGAAACGAAATCGCATATTGTGGGGAAGTGAAAAAATATACTTTCAGATTCCATAGAAACATGGTGGGGATTCATGCTGTAAACTCTTATCGAGAGCTTTATATTTTCAGGAAGCCTCCATAGAAGGAACCACTGTGTCACTTATCATGACGTTGATGAAAACACTTCAAAACCCCACGACCGGTTTCGCCCTTCTTGGGTCTCATCGGGTAGGCACAATCCTAGAATTTCCGTCAATCTTATGTTCTACTTGAACCCAAATTGCACGAAATTAGCTCAATACACTCATTTGTATACCTATTTGGTTTTGACCGGATATTCCCCGGTGGCCGCCAAAAACGTATCGCGATTTCTCGGATATCGTAACGAATGAAACATGAGGCGGCCTCGTGTAGCACAATCAGAACATGATAAACGAGAGTCAGTAGGGTTCCAGGTAAGCCTCTCGACAAAATCAACTTGGTATGCAAATGAATGCATTTCGCTGAGACGAATGATTGTTCCAGGCAAATGTTTCATCTTGGATGATGGTTGAAAAACCAGGTAAAATGACTAGACACTTTGTCCTCTTCTTCTGTTGAAAAAACGAACTGGGGCGTGAGTGGATTTTGGTTTGCGCTCCGAGGAAGTAAAATAACCAGTGACAGCAATCTCATTGAAATATACAAAGTTAATTTAAACGATTAGCATAATGAAATTCCGCAGGCTGATACACATATGATCAACCGTGTTTCGTCAGTCAGAACTTCAGGAGTTTCATGGCACGGCTGGAGTTCCGGTGAAAATAATGCAAAACAGAAGCGGCTAAATCAGCTGGACGTAAGAACCCCTCAGTCGATCAGCCAGTCAACACGTGGCCACGTCATGAAAATAATAACAGAAGCGGCTAAATCAGCTGGACGATCAGCCAGTCAACACGTGGCCACGTCATTTGACTTCCGTGAGTGAATGATAAATAAGGCTATATCTCGCTGATCAGCCATTCATATTCAAACCACTGGGCAGAAGGTTGAGATTTTCAAATTCCCTGGAAGTTCGTAAGGTATGTACTACTGACAATTCCCAATAAGGATGAAACCGCCGTACAGTCCTTCACGGCCTTTCGGTATGGGGTGACGTCACCTACAGGAAGAAAGTCATATTGTGATATTCCGAAAACCTTCTCAACTCTCCTAGATTAAAAACTTCGAAAGTACACGCATTCAAAACCTACAAGTGCACACATCATTCGGTGTAGTAAAAAGCAGTCCACCCAGAGGACAGCCACTCACGAATAGTAACGCTGCAGTCTCACAAATAGGTGGATATCAATTAGTGAGAGAACCGTGACCTAACCTACTCCGAACTGACTAAGAGTGACAACTGAGCGCGGTTTTCAGTTAGAATCCGGGCACCAGTATTAATAGTAGTCCTCACAAGACACGATTAATCTCCAACTAGGAAATCCTCATTATTCTATAAAGGTTGAAGCGAAGCAACTGCACAATCCAACGACATGGAATCTAACAAGGATATCTAGGAGGATATCTAGGGAGCCCACCCTCTAGGTGATAATGCCAGTACAGAATAACTACAGAACTAATATTGTTTCAGCTGGAAATTTCGACAATGAATCTTAACCAAGTGCGACGATGCATGCACTCACAAGCTCAATGAGGCCCTAAGACAACTAAAGAGTTTGGCCAATTGACAGGGATAAATATCTACTGTTCTTCTTCTCTCTACGTGTTCTGACGAGGTGGCACGGAAGCTGAGACTCAAGATGTGTGGTTCGATCGATAGCTCGGTTGGGTGAATAGGTAGTAATCCTACTTTTTTCATAAAGGAAACTACTCACAAGGTTGCTGAAAACCCTTCGACAGCCCACGACCGGTTTCCTTTATGAAAATATACTGCGATATCTCGAATATCGTGCCAACTGAATCATGAGGCGGCCTGTGTACAGCACATTCAGCTGGAGGACCTCATAAACGAGAGATACAATTGAGTCTACCGTGAAAACCAAATTGGTTTGCAAACGAGTGTATTTCTAGTAATCCTACTCTTCTAACTCCCACGGATTTAATGATAAGTGTGAACTGAGTTGCATATACAGTAGCTAGCATGGTACTACAAGGACAAACACGAATAAAGGACGATAAATTAGTGGTACGGGGCGGTGCCATTGCATTGGATGAGAATACAATGAAGTCCAAACTAACAAACCATAGGACCAGACCGTTTACAAACCCAGTTATCAAAGTGCCTGGGGAATTCACGCAATGCAAGAAAGATTTCTGATACGGGCTAACAAAAACGATTATTTAGTAGTATGTACCACGGCAAGTTCGTCGGCAACGGTCGCCTCCTCGTCAAGGTCTGTGTTTGAAGTGACGGTAGAACCAGATTGACTCAGCAAAGACTGATAACCAGATAATGTCTTCACCAGGTCCAGACGATCCCGTCTAGCATAATCTTCATTCCCATCAGTAAATGTTTCAAACGCTCGATTGAGGACGGCCACTTTGGTCGGTGGACTCAAAAGCGCCACACGCATGGCACACCAGGCGACAGGACCATAGGACTGTGTGTAGTATCGGTCAAAGTGAGCCAATGCTGCCTGGTTACTGGGCGACAGATCAACAGCCTAGACGTTAAAGTATGGAAATAAAACGAGCACGAACAACTAAGCGGACAACTAGTACAAACTTGGTTGACTAATTAAAATTCCGAGCAAAATAACTCCATTAATGTAGTCTCAACACAAGTGGCACGAGTATTCAGTGATACCGAAAAGTTTTTTTCCTACTGAATGAACCGCTACATGAAAGATCTCTCTACCAACACCAATCGATCAACTTATCAGCTATGAACCACGTACCGTAGGTACATTGGTTACAGGTGCAATAAGTTCGATCACCTGAAAATGGGAGTGTTGAACATATAGACTGGTCTTGGAGGCGATAGCATGTTCAGTTAGATCGGGAGCTGGGTAGCTATGCATTGGGGGTGATAGCTTTGATCCACGAGCACCCTTGACTGCACGATTAGACCAGTCCCACCAGTGCCATTAACTAGTGATGAGTTGAGTCCCGGGATCCCCATCCAGGGAGGCGTCAGTTGTCGATCCAAGTTTACTAGTTAGCGTTTTCATACTTCGTTGCTAGGTCATAAATTGTTCAACTCTCGGTCATTTCCACTCAGCACAGGGCTGAGCGAAAAGGCAGACAGCCTTCTGTCGTATTTGACTTCCGTGAGTGAATGATAAGTGGTGCTATATCTCGCTGATCAGCCATTCATATTCAAACCACTGGGCAGAAGGTTGAGATTTTCAAATTCCCTGGAAGTTCGTAAGGTATGTACTACTGACAATTCCCAATAAGGATGAAACCGCCGTACAGTCCTTCACGGCCTTTCGGTATGGGGTGACGTCACCTACAGGAAGAAAGTCATATTGTGATATTCCGAAAACCTTCTCAACTCTCCTAGATTAAAAACTTCGAAAGTACACGCATTCAAAACCTACAAGTGCACACATCATTCGGTGTAGTAAAAAGCAGTCCACCCAGAGGACAGCCACTCACGAATAGTAACGCTGCAGTCTCACAAATAGGTGGATATCAATTAGTGAGAGAACCGTGACCTAACCTACTCCGAACTGACTAAGAGTGACAACTGAGCGCGGTTTTCAGTTAGAATCCGGGCACCAGTATTAATAGTAGTCCTCACAAGACACGATTAATCTCCAACTAGGAAATCCTCATTATTCTATAAAGGTTGAAGCGAAGCAACTGCACAATCCAACGACATGGAATCTAACAAGGATATCTAGGAGGATATCTAGGGAGCCCACCCTCTAGGTGATAATGCCAGTACAGAATAACTACAGAACTAATATTGTTTCAGCTGGAAATTTCGACAATGAATCTTAACCAAGTGCGACGATGCATGCACTCACAAGCTCAATGAGGCCCTAAGACAACTAAAGAGTTTGGCCAATTGACAGGGATAAATATCTACTGTTCTTCTTCTCTCTACGTGTTCTGACGAGGTGGCACGGAAGCTGAGACTCAAGATGTGTGGTTCGATCGATAGCTCGGTTGGGTGAATAGGTAGTAATCCTACTTTTTTCATAAAGGAAACTACTCACAAGGTTGCTGAAAACCCTTCGACAGCCCACGACCGGTTTCCTTTATGAAAATATACTGCGATATCTCGAATATCGTGCCAACTGAATCATGAGGCGGCCTGTGTACAGCACATTCAGCTGGAGGACCTCATAAACGAGAGATACAATTGAGTCTACCGTGAAAACCAAATTGGTTTGCAAACGAGTGTATTTCTAGTAATCCTACTCTTCTAACTCCCACGGATTTAATGATAAGTGTGAACTGAGTTGCATATACAGTAGCTAGCATGGTACTACAAGGACAAACACGAATAAAGGACGATAAATTAGTGGTACGGGGCGGTGCCATTGCATTGGATGAGAATACAATGAAGTCCAAACTAACAAACCATAGGACCAGACCGTTTACAAACCCAGTTATCAAAGTGCCTGGGGAATTCACGCAATGCAAGAAAGATTTCTGATACGGGCTAACAAAAACGATTATTTAGTAGTATGTACCACGGCAAGTTCGTCGGCAACGGTCGCCTCCTCGTCAAGGTCTGTGTTTGAAGTGACGGTAGAACCAGATTGACTCAGCAAAGACTGATAACCAGATAATGTCTTCACCAGGTCCAGACGATCCCGTCTAGCATAATCTTCATTCCCATCAGTAAATGTTTCAAACGCTCGATTGAGGACGGCCACTTTGGTCGGTGGACTCAAAAGCGCCACACGCATGGCACACCAGGCGACAGGACCATAGGACTGTGTGTAGTATCGGTCAAAGTGAGCCAATGCTGCCTGGTTACTGGGCGACAGATCAACAGCCTAGACGTTAAAGTATGGAAATAAAACGAGCACGAACAACTAAGCGGACAACTAGTACAAACTTGGTTGACTAATTAAAATTCCGAGCAAAATAACTCCATTAATGTAGTCTCAACACAAGTGGCACGAGTATTCAGTGATACCGAAAAGTTTTTTTCCTACTGAATGAACCGCTACATGAAAGATCTCTCTACCAACACCAATCGATCAACTTATCAGCTATGAACCACGTACCGTAGGTACATTGGTTACAGGTGCAATAAGTTCGATCACCTGAAAATGGGAGTGTTGAACATATAGACTGGTCTTGGAGGCGATAGCATGTTCAGTTAGATCGGGAGCTGGGTAGCTATGCATTGGGGGTGATAGCTTTGATCCACGAGCACCCTTGACTGCACGATTAGACCAGTCCCACCAGTGCCATTAACTAGTGATGAGTTGAGTCCCGGGATCCCCATCCAGGGAGGCGTCAGTTGTCGATCCAAGTTTACTAGTTAGCGTTTTCATACTTCGTTGCTAGGTCATAAATTGTTCAACTCTCGGTCATTTCCACTCAGCACAGGGCTGAGCGAAAAGGCAGACAGCCTTCTGTCGTGCGAAGCACATGTATTAACCAGCGTAACCTACGAAGCGTGAGTAATTCGCCTACCGCGGGAGAGTTCCTTGTTTCTAGGGCCATATGGCGTATCTCAACATACTAAAATGACGTTCCATCGGACTCCAATAATGCTTCGGAGACACTGAGGGTCAAATACTGACATTTTTCATGTGTCATCTTCACGTTGAGGCCAGGTTTCTGATTGATGAGGCAGTTTGAACCACACTGCTGCAGTTTAAACTTTGGCCTTGACAGACAAACTGATATCTGGTCCGCGCCATGGGTGTCGGAGGTTGGGAAAAGCTGCTCTGGTCTTCCAGATTCGACAAGTAATCTCATCTTCAGCCAATCCACCAGAACGTATACAACTTCCCAGGTGAACAAATTTATCTACCACGTCAATTGGATCGCCTCAAAGTATGGGATTTTGGTTTGATCTCACCCAGTCTAAATCTCATACGAATATGAGCCTTTTTATCATTTTATGGGGATATCTCATACCATATATTCTGCGGTCCTTTAGAATTTTTTCCTCCAGGGAAGCAGTTGCAGGCTCAGATTGCCACACCGGAGAATACTGCACTTCACGCAAGCACGCGGTGCTCATTTTGTCCAATATGACAAAAGCAAACATCAATACCTTGTATGGTTTGACATCACCTAACGCTCAGCTAAGCACCAGCATCTGCATCGCCCATTTGTGTGCTGACATTCCAATCAGCCAAATTAACGCCTAGGTCTTAAATTCGAGGACGATTTCGCCTCTTCTAAAGAAGATTTAGTCTACGCTAGGCGATACACCGCATTTGTTTCTGTACGGGAACTGACGGGTACTTCTCGTCCAGTATTGTACGGCCATGGGGTGCCAGATCGTCTAGGTGACTTCAGTCCATGCTCCAGGACTCTTACGTAAGATGCAATCAATGAATGCACTCAACTTAAAGACGCGGACGACCGGTTTCCATTGTTCTCAGTACTTCGCATATAAAACGAGACAGGGTAACCTAACTTCAGATGATCCTGTTGAAACTAACCTTGTATTGCATGGGTGAGTCTTCAGCACGCTCAATTCGAAAAGCCTCTTTCAGTCCGTACGTCTTCTTGCTAGAGAGCCATCGCCGACTGAGTTTCAAGGTACCCTTAATAAAATAAGCGGGATCATCAACATAATATATATTCGACCCGAGACGAAATGAGGGACTAACAGAGTACTGCGGTTAGTATTGTTGTATTTTATCACTGTACAATTGTTTACAGCCGCGGGAGCCGGAGTTCAGATTCGGGAAAATCATTCATCCAATCATCTAGGTGAACCGGTTTGAAAACGTCCGTCGGCGGTTGAGTGCATGTGAAGTTATCCAGTTTTTGATATAAGAAGATTCGACAGGATACTGGCACATCGACAACGTGATCGATCTGAGGCAAAACGGATATAGTACAGATGAGAAAGTGAGGTGGGAATATAAACAGCAACATATAAAAGAGGTCAGAAAGATGCGCAGTATAAATTTCCATATATCGGATGGATGGCTAGAAAACCAATCGGGTAGTTTAGGTCTAAAAAGACAGCTCATAAAGGGAAGTTTTTTTCGTTAGCTAGCCCTAGCAACCATATAAGTGATGATTAAACATGCAACCCACCAAATGACGAACATCCTACGATGTGATGATTAGATGATCGTGTCAGCAGAAGTAAACGACTCAGTTTGGCAAACAAAGTCCCGTTAGCTATTAAACGTTCTGCATAGAAATCATGATTCCAAAACCCCTCAGTCCCTTGGAAGGAATCAGATGAAAGGCAACAGAATAGGTGAGGGAAACCACATTCATACTTCAGTTCGATGAGGTATACACCCTCAACTTAGGGGAGGAGAGCGCCTTTGCCCTATTACTGGCTGCAAGGAGAACAGACATCAACCCACACAGTTTACAGAGCTCTGAGAGACATGATGCAACAAATAAACGCAGTGGTCGGGTAACCGAAATCTCGGTAATATTGATCAAATCGATTGTCCTATTCAGTCTAGGTAGCCCGATACACAGCATCTATGTCGGAGTATTCCCCCTACTAGGATCGTTTATACCCATTTTTGGTCTTTTCCTGTGTTTTCAACGAATCAATAGGCACCGAAACGGCAGATTCGATGTTTTGTGGATAATACTGTTTAATCGATGCACATACGGCCGAACCGGTTGAAACAAACTCGTTTTCTCTTAAGAGGTAGGTGCAATGAAATAGGTAGCTAAGTAAGTGGATCAAAAACTGTTGCGTATGGGAGTCCCATAAAATCGTTCCACAGTCCAAAATAACAAATGGTTTTATTTGTGACGATCATGAAGACTTTGTGCGAAATTCATTGCATGGCTGGGTGCCTCCTCCTCTCCCTCCTCTACATGATGCATACATCATGGTGGCCTTCATCGTATGACCTAGCCTAGCTTTTCTGATAAGTGTAAAAACGGGGGGCGAAAATTCGGTACAATCGCTGGAACTACCGTCTGCACGGTGTTTCTGATACTTGGGTTAAATGTCACCCGTCAAACTGAACTGCACGCCATTAGTTTAGACTATACCCAACTGGCTCATAAACATTGTCAGGTTTTTAATCATTTATCTGCTATCAGATGTTGCAACAGTTGTTCGTGAAACGAACAATGGTCATTTTATAGTTTCCCTCCAACACCTTGCAGCTTGAATTTGAACTGATATTCTTCGATAATGGTTTTGTTCATATCCAAGCACCTGAAGAGGAGCGGGTCAACATCCTCTCGGGAAGTAACTCTGAGGAT